AAGATACACTTTGTCTCAAAAATAATGAAAAAACATCATTGGCTCTGTTCTGAAAATGCTGGGGGCGTGTCAGCTGGAGGAGATGAAACCACGCCCACGTGCTGAGCGTCACTGTGTCCGTGTCCTGTACTGAGGAGGAGATGTTCGTGAAGGCTGGCAGCCTGTTGGAGTTCTCCAGCCCTACTCATTCTCAGGGCGCATTTCCTCCGGGCGGTGTGCCGCGACCGACTGGGTCGGCAGGGAAGGGCTCGGGGGTGAAGGTGTCTCGCTGTCTCGGCCGCTTGCTTTACAGTGCCCTCTCCGCTCCGACCTCGCCGATTCCCAGGGCCGTGGACTCAGTGCCTCGCTGCGCCCTCTCCCCGCGGTCCCCCGCTACCCACCCGACCCGTCTTAAAATACGGACCAAGGAGTCTAACGTGCGCGCGAGTCGGAGGGTCCCCCAAAACCTGAATCATGCACTAAATAGCCAACACTTAGAATATTTACAATATAAGCACAAACAGAAACTTACTACGTTTATTGGGTGAGGCATTATCCCACCGTCAGGTGCAGGAGAGGCAGCATTGGGAGGAGAGTCCAGGAGGGAGGCGGTCGGTAGAGCCTCATGAACCAGCACTAAACGACTGTACATAAATCCCAACTGTGTCTCCAGGTAGTTAGTAAAACTATCTGGAGTAAAATGGGAATTGTTTAGCTAGCTAACAACAACAAAATATCTCTGCTATTGCTATTTGATGCTGTCTGCAATAAGCAAGTGAACAGCAACGGCCGAGGCGAAGAAGTTTTTATACTGCTGGAGCAGTAGGGGGCGGGGTTAAGCCGGGGTTATGTTTAAGGCGGCCGCGTGACGAAACGCAGCCGCCTTTTAAAGCACGCCCAGAAAATCCTGAAACAAACATATATTTAAACACAAATTGATCTATACCTCCAAAATTAAAGTATCTACAGTTGAGACTTTTTACTCATTTACAACAATGCAATTGTGACATTTATAATGTTTAATGAAGAAAATATTAAAATTTACTTTACACGGCCGTTAATGTCGAAAAACACAGTTTCGCAACGGCTGTTTCCATTAAGTAAGAAATGCTATTAAAGTCACGCCTGAATACGTTGGTTCTCGTGATAAGTCATTACAAACATGGCAGCGATGGATGTAAACACATAGCATGTTGCTACCGCGACACTAGCGCTCATCATCAGAGGAGACGTCGGCGTCTTTTAGCAAGGCTTTCCAGTGACAAGACCCTGCTTGGGAGCGGATGCTGTGTTTGTGAAATTTGGTGAGTTTACTATTTTATATTACTTCTGTGATATTACTATTTGTACTTCTTGTTATCCTCTCCATCATCGTCTTTTTCACCAGTAGAAAAAGCTGGTTGTTGATCATGTGACTCCCGTGATGCGAAAAAATTGTTTCCATTGCAGTTTTGCGAAAAACACCAATTTCGATACGGCCAAAAAAAAAACATCTCATCCTAGTGCAAAAACATTTTGTCGAAAAACTTTTTTTTTTCCGAAACTGACATGTTTCCATTGAGCAAATTTATTTTCAGAATTCTAATTTGCACATTTTCATGGTCAATGGAAACGCAGCTAATGTTGGGACACACATCAGAGGCATTGGGGTGAAGTGTCTTGCCCAAGGACCGAGACAGCTGGACGGGGGATCGAATCGGCGACCTTTCGGTTCCAGGAAGACTCCCCTAACCACTCTGCCACAGCCACCCCGTCACCCGAGTCACCTGAAAATGACTCTGAGGAAACATGACCTAACTTAAAGGGTGACCCAGTTCCCAATCAAAATACTGAAATCTCAGATGTAGAAATATTAAGTGTCTGATTGTGTTGCATCAGTGGGAGGACTGTAACTATAATCCCTCAAGAATTAGTTGTTCGCACAACAATCTTAATCACATTGATTATAAAAATATTCTAACCGTCTCAAGCATAAATACGTGAAATGCATTAAAGGCTCAATAGAAATGAATATATTTTCCTTTCAAGTCATAAAAATTCTCAATGAAACTAAACTGAGCAACTACAATCTTCAACACTAAATTTTCAATTATAATACAATTCATTTCAATTCAAATTCAAAAATACTTTACTGATCCCAGAGGGAAATTAGATGTTGTAGTAACTCATTGGGTAAAAGCTCATCATATATACTTACCGTGCTTGATGCAATTGTGAGTCAAAGTTTCGCTGGTTTTAGAACTGACTTTGTTGAAAACTTGGCATGAGAATTTTTTCAGTTTTGATTCTGAAGAGTCTATTTCCAGAGTTAATTTCGTATTTTCTATTTTTTCTCCATCCTTTAACCAGTGAATCTGACGATCTTCAGGTTGCTAAAGACGTAGAAAAAAAAGAGCACATATGAAAGACACAAGTAGACTTGAAAATACCAAAACCAGAGCAAAACATTTTTAAAGTATATTTTTTCTCATAATTTCAAAGTTTGATAAAGAAAATATGAGTAGTGAGAAAGACGTATTTTTGCACGATCATTTTAAAAAAATGCAATTCTAAAGTGCATGTGAGGTAACAGGAAGTGATGCCAAGAGGAACGTCTAAATGTAAACAGAGCAGTGCTACAACAGCTAAGAACACAGACTGTAGAGAATAATCTGATGCTTCTTTAGATTATTTTGAATCACTATCAAAGAGATGAAGAGACAGAGTCCAAACAGTATTTTATCAATAAACAAAAACCATGAGTTCTTAAAAAGTTACCCTATAGTGTCACTTCCTGTTTCATTTTGGCTGAGCCAAGTTCAAAGGAAAATATGCCATTTGTGTGACAAAATTGGTAAAATCATGTGTATTATCCCAAGTTTCTTAAATATAAAATGTTTTCTTTGCCTTTTTGTATTTGAAGGAACTTTGTCTTTCCAAAAATGCAATAATATTTGTTACTAAATTTTGATGTCACGGGCACTTTACCAACATAATAAACATTAATAAGAATAAACACGAGCAATCATTGTTAATGCCAACTATCACCAAGAGCCAAAGGCAGATGATAACATTTTGCCCATGTCTGTTGTCAAAATACCATTGGACAAATTTTAATGAAACTCTTTATAACTGATTAACGTTTGAAGTCAACCCCAGTCAAGATGGCTGCCACCGTCAACAGACCATGGCTTGGTTAACTTTACAGATATTTGACTAAAACTTGGCATGGTAGTAGCTGAGAAGCATCTCCAAGACAAATTTTGGGTGCCAATAGATGATTTTTACCTAAAACTGTACGATCAGCTGTTGATGTCAGCCCTGTCTGTCTGTTAGCAAAGTATCTCATAAAGTATTTGACAGATTTTAATGTAACTTTCAGTAGACAATCCATATATGTAACTCTAGTTTATCAACTTTAGGAGTCCCTTCAATTCAACATGGCCGTCACAGCTTAAAAGAACACAATTCTATTTTACAGCAACTGAAGTAAAATGTGGTGTGGAAGAAGCTCAGTCATTTACAACACATATTCTGAATGCTAACAGATGACGCGTATCATTACATTACATAAGAATCAGTGAGAAACATACTTAAGAATCAGCACAACTTAAAATGAGATGTTTTTACAATTTAGGCATGTAAGAGGACTGGCAATATGTCCTCTTGAGCAAACCAGAACTTCCCGTTTTCTATATCTTTTAACTTCTGTTAACTTAAGATCTTTAAGTTAAACCTGGACATGTTTGGTATCAGCAGAAAGCTAGGAATCTTGGCTAAAAGTTCATGGAAACTATTTTTACATCCACCAAACAGTTCAAACGACAGGCAGTTAAATCAGAAAGTAAACAAAATACAAAATGTCATCAATGGAAATCTGTAAATATGTTACAACAAATCTAAATCTGTAAAGGAAAAGTTTTTGACATTTGTTTTTACAGTACGTCAAAGCTGATACCAAAATAGGTTGTGAAATGTGGGAATGAGGGAATATGGTCCAACTAAAGTCAAATATAATTTCTCATTAATTTATTTAATATATATGGTGACAAATAAATGTTTGGATAAATTTTCAAAAGAACAAACCTTCAATAACAAGTCTTTTAAGGCAAGTAAGAAAAAAATAAAGAACTTTTGGATGTAAAAACTTCAGATTTCTTAACATTTATTAATGGTACCGTCATGGTCTGTCCTGTGCAGAATGACAAAATGCAAAATTGTTTATTTACTAAAACCTCGGTAACTTTGCTCCAGTTAATTTTAGCAGCATGAATCTTTGCATAGGTAATTCCACAAGTAGATTAATGGTTTCCAGGAGCTTTTAGCCTGATTGATTATGGTTTTAAATGGGTTATATATGTACTGTGTAATGCAAAAATTATTCAGACAGGGGGGGGGGGGCAATTATGTTGCATCCTCAATATCTCTAAAACAACAGCAGCTGTTTTAATACTTACACTTCTAATAAAATATCCCAAGGGTTAGCTTTATTTTGATAGCAAGATAGATTATTTAAATAACACTGGACCTTTAATTTAAAAATACATCTGGAGCCTGTTTAGATTTTAGACATCTTTTTTTTAAATGTCCTGCAGTTCCCTGCGTAGAGCTACTCTGCTTTGTTAAAAAGATTCAGATAAAATGTTCTCACCTGACCAATAACACATGTAAAGATGACCTTTGGCTCCTTACACTCCATCTTTAGTGTAGGTTTGGACACAGGGTCTGAGGAGATTTGAGAAGATGAACACAAGGAGAACTCGTGATTATGGAGTTTAAATATTTGGCCTGACAATTTCTTTTGTATTATTTTTGTATATACCTAGCTTCGCACTTACTACAAATTAAAACACATTTCACAATTTTAAATAAAATCTAAGGAAGCACAATAACCCAGAAATAGCTGACACATTCAAAAAGAGAGAAGAAGCATACTGTAGGCTATTATTCCTCACTCCTTTGTTCAACTAAAAAAACTATACCCATATGAACACATCTAAATACGTATATATATATATATATATATATATATACACTGTGATGAAGCTCACATGGTCTGAACTCACAGGGTTTTATTCTACTGGTCCTTTAGGACCCTTCTTCCTGGGTTGAGGAAGAGGAGGCGGCTGATCATCATCATCATTATCAGCCGGTCGGGAAGCCTGGAGACAGTAAAATACAGATCATCAGATTGGAAGAGAAGGAAAAAGTGCATTTTCTGTGAAAACAGTGTGAATGTTGAGAGACAGTGACTACTTGGTGCACTTTTGAACATGTTTGCTAAGGACCATTAGGCTAGCAAAAAGTTTAGTTAGAAAAAGAAAGACTAGCCAAAAGTAGAGGAGGAGTAGAAAAAGCAGATGTTTTTGAAGGAATTGAGGAACTGTCAACATGGGGAAAATGTGTATAAAGTTAAATAATTTGAAAAAACAAACTGGTTAAAAAAACCAAAAGCCACAGATACTATATTCCTAACCAGATGATTTAGCCAAAAACAGTAGTGTGATTACTAAATATCTATTACACTAATTTTACGGCAATGATGAAAAGAACAACACATACAGACCCAGGTGCAGATCCGCTTAAGTTTCCTACCTGAGCAGTTCGTCTGGGCTGAGGTTGGGGTTGGCCTTCGGACGGCTCTGGGGCTTTGGGTCGATGATGTCGTTTTTGTTTGGAGCGGCTCTGTCGAGGACCGGTGTGGCCGGCCTGCTTCTGCTCATGGTGGTGTTGGTGAGGATTATGACTAGGATGGTTACCAGGAAGAGGAGGAAGATGGTGATGATGATTTTGCTGTTCAGCACTTAGCCACTGTAAGCGAAGCTCCTCCTCCTCTGTTGAGAAAACACAGTTAAAAAAAGAGCAAAATTAGAATTTCATGGCTGCAACATTGCCTGCCATAAAATTCAAAATTCTTATTTTCTCTTAACAAATTAGTGCCATTTTTTTGTTTAAACATTCAACACGTTTACTGTGTTCCACCGGGAATAAAATGAGTTTATGAGCTTTGTAAATTATTGCATTCAGACAAGAAAGTCTCCAGAGTTAGATTCTTCCAATAAGAAGCATATTCAGAATATAAAGCCAGTTGAGAATCTGAGTTAGATTTGTTTTAGCCGTTGTTTTTTAAAGGAAATTTATATACCAAATTCCAGTTAAATTCATTTTATATGTTTCCACCCAGTAAACTAAGTAGAGGCAAAACAGTTAAAAAAAAAAAAAAACTTCACGATATTATAACTTGCTGTCAAACAGCTATCGGTAGTTAATTTTTTTCTCCTAGCTGAGTCCTAGTCGTGTTTTGTGACCAGCAGAATAAAAGAAATAACCTTATTGGGTAAAATGTTTAAAGTACTTTTCATTTAAAAATGAATACTGTTTTGTAAAAGTATTTGTGTCATCTACAAACTAAATTTATGAAGCTCCTAAAAACAAATGTTGTACTTCCACTTCCAAAAAAAAAAAAAAAAAAAAGATACTGGGCCAAACAGGTACTTTATACAAATAAGTGGATGACCGTGTCATCTAAATTAGTTTTAGCTGAGTTTATTTCCAAGAGGCTTTTCCTTCAATGTGGTGGGTTTCAATGTGAATCTTAGCATGGCCGATTACAGAAAGAAACATTACCCTTTAGGTGCATACTCCTTTTCCGTTTTCGCAGAACGCAGCAAACAATGACAAAAATGATCAGCACCAGAACAACACCTGATGAAGATAATAACACAAATTACAAGACATGTGACCGCCACACAATGCTGGGTACAGCTAAACAAAATGTAGTTTTGTTAACTCGTAATCCGCTAACTAAAATTATAGGTTTACTAGTGCTAAAACTGTAAAATAATTAGCAGAAGCTCGCTAACAGCAATTGCTAACTGCTAAGACGACCGTGTCTCAGTCTGCGTCTCACGTCTTTGTCCCCTTCCAGCTGAAGACTGGTGGGACTGACACAAACCTGTCAATGTTAGCCTGTTGGTTAGCTATTTGCTGAATTAAACTTAACAAAACTTAATTTAACAGAAGCTAACTGGTCTGCTAATGGTTTTCAAAGTAAGTGAAAAAGCTAATCTGATAAACGGAAATTCTGCTATTAGCTATTGATTGATAAGCAGAACAATGCCCACCACTGCCTCCACAACTGAGTTTGTTCACATTTAATTTAATGCAGGTTAATTTCAGCAAAACTCAGTGTAACCACATACAGTAAGTAATTCCATCATTTCTGCTTAAGAGACAACTTACCTCCTCCACAACCTACAAAAATCCAGATACTAATCCCAAACACCTCTTCTGGAATGCCTGGCACAACTGTGAAAACACAAATTTAAATCACTTAAACCACAGTAATAAATGTTTAAGAAAGTGCATAGGAACATGCCTTTTAATAAAACAATTAGTTACCCTTCAGATAGGGCTACCACAATTAGACGATTAGTCAACGACTAATCGATTATTAAAATAGTCAATCACTAATTTAATAATCGATTAGTCTGGTTTTTTTTCTTTACTTTGTTTTTCTCTCCAAACTGCTTTGACACCTTCCACTGCCACATCTGCCTTTCTGTCCTTGACACACATGCACAGTAGTNTTACCTACCCAGTACACACAAATGTCTGGCCTTTGTGAACTTTTGTTTATAATCTTTATCAAAAATCGTATAGGTGTAAATCATTGATTGTTCCTTCTTTACATCTTTAATTATGAAGGATCCATTCTTAGTCAGGGAGTTTTCTTTTTCTGAGGTCACTTTCTTTATATCTCTAAAAGTCTCCACTTTATTGCCAATTTTCCATTCCAATCTGCCCTGGGGGTCCAGTGGGTCCTCCAGAGGCACAGTAAAATCTGTGCCTGTTGCAGCATAAAGATGACAACCGTCAGAAGAACCTTTGAATCAGAAAGAAAAATGAAAAATGACCATTAATAGTATAGAAGTAAGTCACATCAAGCAATTACAGACAAATCACACCACAATCTACAAGTTTAATATAAGAACAAGAAATTATAATAACTCATAGTGAGGCTAAAAAGATTTAGAGAGTTCAATGAAAGTCACTGTGTCTGTCACTGAGAGTGGACTTTAAAATTTGAGATGGGTCACATGGGTCATCTTTGCCTGCTTGGTCTGTTTATATGATCATTATTTCAAAGTAAACCTTTAAAAAAATGAGTACAGATAATCATAAAATCCATGTTCATTTCAAGTGCTACCAATATTAGCACCAATTTGTTTTTCTAGATGTTGGTGCCATTTGTTATATGATCAAATAAAAGTTTCATCAAATTGATTCTGTAAGAAACTGTAAAAAGCATGGTTCAATAATGGAATGTCTGAATAATGTAGCGGGACTCACTTGGATTTTTCTCAAACCTTTATCCTCATCTCTGACTCTAATCAGTTTCACAGCTACAGCACAGACAACTTGCCCATACCATGAAAACACAACAATCCCTCTCAGCAGGGCAGCTGTCCTTAGCTGATCTAACAGAGAGACTGCAAAACTAATAAAAACACTTCCGAAAAGACTTCTGCCCATTTCATAATGGTTCAACCTTTTTTATCCTCTTCTGTCTCTTCCTGGTTACACCCGTGAATGTGATAACTTTTACTGTATTTCAGACGTTAGAATGTAACCAGATTTTGTTTATACAGAAAGAAAGAACACATTGATAACACACCATTCTCTGCTTAACCTCTTGAGCCCCATGCCCCCAGCACAGGGGGCAAAACAGCTTTTTCCGTTTTCTATTTCTTTTAACTTAACATCTGTCAGTTGAACCGTGACATGTTTGGTATCAAAACAAACCTAAGAATCTTGGCTAAAAGTTCATGGAAACCATTTTTACATTCACCAAACAGTTCAAATTACAAGCAGTTGAATCAGAAAGTAAACAAACTGTACAAAATGGGATTGTTGCAAATCTGTAAATACATACAATCAAATCTGTAAAGGAAATGTTTTTGACATTTGTTTTTAAAGTAAGTCAAAATAGACACCTAAATAGTTTGTAAAGTGTGTTAAAAGTTTTTTTTTACTTGATTTTGAGTGAATATGATCCATCTGAAGTCAAATATAATTTCTCATTATTTTACATAATATAAATGGTGACAAATAAATGTTTGGATGTTCTGTAACTTTGCTCCAGTTAATTTTAGCAGCATGAATCTTTGCACAGGTAATGTCCACAAGTGGGTTTATTGTTTCCAAGAGTTTTTAACCATATTCATTATGATTTTAAATGGGTTATATACTGTCTAATGCAAAAAATATTCAGGTGAGAGTGAAAAAAAATAAAAATTATGTTCCATCCCCAATTTTTCTAAAACCACAGCAGCTGTTTTAATACTTACACTTCTGATGAAATCCAAGTGTTCGTTTCATTTTGATACCTAAATGATTTAAGTAGAGTTTGCAAATGCTGAGATGCACTCAGTTACATTTTGACATGGTATTTTGAGAAAAACAAAAAAAACAACAAAAAAAAAACCACATTGGGGCTTAAGAGGTTGCAATGATCAGAAAGTTTAAAAATACAATACTGGATCTAACATCTAATTAATCTTTAACAAAATTTCCTTCAAAAACCATCACGTTCAAATATTCATTAATGGAAGGTAATTCAACACTTCTCAACTTTAACGCCAAATAGCTGCTCGCTAATTTACAGGAATCATAAGTTCATTAAGTTACCCACTGCTGCAGTCGAACAAACACAAAACAAGATCAGCCACACAGATGAGGTCAACAAATAATGAAAATGGTAAATCATTAACCTCCTAACACCCTAAATGCAGAGCAGCTCATAAACCACTTTTAGGAAAAAGGAAGGGGGAGTACTTCCTTATACGGTCTTGTTGGCACTAAATCCTGTTTGTCTAGGTTTCACATTGACTGAGACGACAGAGTTTCTTATTTTTAAAGGATGTCTCAAAGAGTCCACCTATCCCAACATCTGCAGGTGCTTTCTGTTTGGATGTTACTGTCTTATTACACACCTAAGGGACCTCTGAGAACCTCTGAAGACGGTCACTAGGGTCAGGACAGAACATCGCTGGACCAGTTTCATTTTAATGAGATCATTAAAAGGATCCCCTATTATTTGTAACATTGGACTTTATTTAATAAACATATATTTTAACTGTAAAATAAAGACTGTAAAAATACTGTAGGATGTTCTGTTTTTATAATTTTAAAACTAAAAGTTTAAAAATATAGTACACAGACGGGGCCATTTTATTTACACGCAAAGCATTCTGGGTAAATGATGACGTGGATAGGTCCTCGGTGCGAGGCTGCTAGCGAGCTATATCCACCCTGAAGGTTAATCTTGGACAATATCTGATGATCGACTCTTTTAAATGAAACCAGAGAGCGTTGACAGAGAGGAGAAGGTAGAAATGACTCAGCCTGTAACTGAAAATATAGATGGAGGACAACAGAGCTGCTTCATGGAAGAAGAACCTCAGTTTAGCTTGTTTGTTGCGCTAGCGCTGAGCTAATACATATAAGGCAATATAGCGTCAGTGCTAGCACAAAGGCTAACAGGCTAAGCTGAGGTTCTTCTTCCATGAAGCAGCTCTGTTGTCCTCCATCTATATTTCCAGTTACAGGCTGAGTCATTTCTACCTTCTCCTCTCTGTCAACGCTCTCTGGTTTCATTTAAAAGAGTCGATCATCAGATATTGTCCAAGATTAACCTTCAGGGTGGATATAGCTCGCTCACACTGAGGACCTATCCATGTCATCATTTACCCAGAATGCTTTGTGTGTAAATAAAATGGCCCGTGTTAAAATATATTTTTTTAAAATGTACAAAAAACTAAACATCCTACAGTATTTTTACAGTCTTTATTTTACAGTTAAAATATATGTTTATTATATAAAGTTTAATGTTACAACTAATCGGGGATCCCTTTAACAGCACATTAGTCATATATTAGGCACAAAAAAGCCTTCCAGTTGTTATTACCACAGATTTACACTGACTGTGACTCCGCTCCACTGTTAGGTGCAGAAGTGCACTGAGATATGGAGGACCAGACCTGAAATAATTAGAAATAAAAGCCAAAATATATAAATGGACCAACAAATAAATAAATACACTTAAAATTCACCAATTAAATTAAAAAGGAGAACTTTACCTTATGTTTTAAGATATAATTTACCTTCATTTTTATTTTTCCAGCTTAGTTCCGTTAAATTATATATTTTAGCAGATAATTTCTTCAACCTTAAACTTTAAGCTAAACTGAGGCAGCACAAGCATGTACAGTCGAGCTGCACATGGATCCTGCTCCTTTCTTGTGTTGACCAGTAGTAGAGGAATTGACCCAAGAAGGACCGCTCACCTTATTTACATAATGAGGCTGAAATGCATAAGATAAAGTAAAAACAGAAGACAGAGAAATGTAATAGCAACACATGGAAATAAAGATTTGTGAGAAAATTTATACAAAAATAATTAAATATGATCATTTTGTTGCGGTCTGTTTTTGTGAATGTTTTATTTTGGTTAGTCTTCTTGTTTTCTGTCTTGTCCATCTGTTTACTTCCTCCTGCCTCTTTGCTCCTGCCCCACCCCATGTTTCTCTTCTAGCTCATTATTCCCCCTTTATATTATGTTCTGTGTGTCGGAGCTTTGTTGTTTGTTTTATGGTCTCCATAGACATTGTAGTTCTCTTGTCATGTTCCTGGTTTTTTGTAAGTACTTTTGCTGCCACGTCGGTGTTTCTGTTAAATAAAGCCTTTTTGTTCTACTTTTTTTTTGCCCAAAATCATTCACTTAAGCACTTGGGGTTCAAACCATCCAAACAAATCCTGACACATTTAAGATACACAGATGTAATAGCTACAAATAAATATGTATTTAGCTTAAAGAAGCTAACTTTAGCTAATAACAACTGAACATTAGTTAAAATTGTAGCAAATAGCTGAATATTGCAGAAAGCAGATGTAAGAAGCATAAACAGCTCAAATTAGAAAGAATTACAAAAGAGAAGAAAATTGCAGACAATAAGCAAAAGAAGCAGAATTTTAGCTAAAATAGAAGAAAAAGAAAAAAATAACATAAAAATAAGCTAAAGGAAGCAGACAGAGTTGAAAGTCGCACCTATGAAAGTGTTGTAAAAAATTTAAAATTAGTAGAAAATCGGCATAAAACTACTAAAAAGATAATCATATTAAAATGGCTAAAACAGCCAAAGTTTTTAGTAAAACAGCTAAAAAGTAGCTGGAAATGTTTTAATCAGCGTAAGGAGCACAAGTTTGCTGAATGTAGCAGAAATAAGTTGTATTAGCTTTAAAAATTTATGCATTTACCTTGAAAAAGTAACTTTAGTTAATACCAGCTGAACATTAGCTAAAATTGCAGCAAATAGCTGAATATAGCAGAAAGCACCTGTAGAAAGCATAAACAGCACAAAGTAGAGAAAAGGATTACAAAAAATAGAAAATAGCAGAGATGAGTAGAATTTTAGCTGAAACACCAGCAAAAAACTAAAATTAGCAAAAAGGTAGCTAAAATTACCACAAGGAAGTTACAAAGAGCATAAGCAAAACAAAATGAGAAACATGTTGAAGGATTTTAAGGATGTTGAAAATAGCCCCATTCATTTTCAATGGCAAAAAAGTGGCTAAAAAAGTGAAATAGCAAAAAATTGTTGAAATAGCATGAAAATTGTGGAACGAGAAAGGGGCCAAAAATTGTTCAGAAGAAAGAATGATCTCAGTGCTATGAAGACTATGAAGCACTCACGTAACAAAGGTAACAATACAATACGATGAAGGTTTGAATTGACTTGAAGCAGACTAGTGCCTTAACAGAACACCATTTGTGTGTAAAACTATCTTGGCATAGTACAAAATATTACTGGGATATGCTGGCGTTGTTTACACGAATAAGATTAGCTTTTTGCACCATATTTTTAGAAACTACTTTGAGGATGAATACAAATAATGGTGACCAACTCTGTCGTATAATATGCATTTTTCAACCTTCAAATCCATTTTGTAACCAAATGATACTTGCAAACAATAAATAACTTTCTGTCTGAGTCATGTGTGTTCTCAAACTCACCTTCAGGCAACTAAATTCTTTTTGAACCTAAAATGTATAGTCAGCATTAAGTGCTGCCTACAAAGAGTCTGAACCCCAAGTCATAAATAAAGCCATCCGGCACAAATCAGTTGCTGTGTGTTTATGGTGGATGGATGATGTGCATTTTGCACATCTTGTTTTCTCACTTCTGACCAAAGCCTGCTGAGAAGCCACCAAGCGAAGAAGCACTCACACTCAGAAATGCCCGAGTTTCAGTTTCAAGCTTTCAAGTTGCGGCACAACTCTGAAGACTACAATTTGTTGCCAAAGTAAAGATAGAAATTAATAAACTGAACAACTGTGAATAAAATTGCTCATGGTAATAGTTTTTCATCACAGATTGTTGAAGTGGGAAATAAATCATCACTGATAAGGATTTCTTTGGAATATTATTGTTTAGCAAATGCAACAACTTTGAGCGGGTTTCAGTTTCTGTGAGGCAAACTTACAAAGAATCGATTGTTCTGTGACCCAACTTTCCTGTATGATACCAATTGTGTTCCCCTAATTTCCAGTCAAGATTCTTTATTTAGAGGTGTGGTGAGCAGTCAAAGGGAGCAGCCAAACATAAAAGATAAGCAGATAGAAACTTGAGGCTCCATTACTTTAACAAACTCTCTTTCTGAACTTGAACCAAAGCCATTTGTGTTTGTTACTTTTAACCACAAACCTAAAATTAACTGAAGGAGCTGAAGTAAGCTTTGAATGTTTTCCACTGATCAAACCATTTCTGTACTACCAGAACTCCATCAAACATGACACAAACAACCAGAAATATTTTATTATGTGTGTGTGGGTGTGTGCGTGTGGTTTTGGACTTGTCCTTATTTGGTAAGACTAGATTTTAAGCTTTTTATAATTTGAAATAAAATATACACTGCTCAAAAAAATAAAGGGAACACTTGAACAACGCACGCTAAGTCCAAGTAAATCAAACTTTTATGAAGCACATTCAACTCTGTACAGAACAAAGTACTCAATGCGAATATTTCATTGATTAAGATCGGGAGTTAGCGTGCGTTGTTTAAGTGTTCCCTTTATTTTTTTGAGCAGTGTATAATTATTATACTTTTAACTTGTAACTGCCCAAAAACAATGTTTGCTTTGATGTTGTAGCAATCCTGAATAGCTAGAGGAAATTAAAAATAAACACCAAGCGATAGTTTGCCAGGCCAAAGAGGGCCAGTGGGGGGAAG